CCCTGACTGTCCTGGAACTCACTCTGTAGGCCAGGCTGGCCTTGAACTCACAGAGATCTGCCTGCCTCTGCCTCCCAAGTGCTGGAACTGAAAGCATGTGCCATCACTGCCTGGTATTTTTTATTTTTATTTTATGTAAACTAACTCCGATTTATTGTCAACAAGACGGTTTGCTTCAAACTAGGGGTAGGATTGCAGATGTGTACTGCCATGCCCAGATGTGTTTGCACCCCAGGGAGACCAGACCTCTGTCTAGAAAGCTGGTTCTTCTCCACCAGCACGCTCCATGCTGTATGAAACTGAAAACCCGTCTTTAAACGGCTCAGTATAAGGGAAACTCCTTCAGAAGTTGTAGAGGCTCAAAAGATGTGTCTTCCTTCTAATACCAACGGCCAACTCCATTTCTCCAGCCTTCTGCTCTCATTTCTGGCTTGCAGTCACTCTGGGGCCCAGGCTGAGCTCAGTCTCGGGATGATCTTCCTGCTCAGCCTCCTGAGCACAGGCAGGCTGTGCCAAGGGGAGCTGTGTTGCCCAGGCTCATCTTGAACTTCTGTGCTCAAGACAGCCACCTGCCTCTGCTTGTTGAATAGCTGGGACCACAGATGTATGGTACTATTCCTAGTTTTCAATATTTTTCCAGAATAGCTCGAAGAATTCAGGACTGCATCGACGTGAGTTCATTGTGAGGGATGTTATAGAGGATATTATGTGAGCGTACGGGTGCACGCCGTTAAGTCCCAGGGTTCTGAGGGAGGCAGTTTCTACGCGGCTGGAGTACAGCACCATCCCAGCATGTGGAGGTGCTCACCAGCCAGGAAGCTTGTCAGGGCCCTTCACATAGGGGTTTCCACAGATGCTCCATCATCTAGGCATGGCGAGCTACTCATGCAGTCTCCAGCCCCACTCCCTTTCTCAGAGGGGAGTAGGCTGCTAATTGAGGTATGGCCTTTCTGGTGAGCGGCCCTCATCCTGAAGCTACCCAGGTGTTCAGCACGACACACCTCATTAGAGTGAAAGCAAGTCATTGCCCAGGAAATTCTCTGGGATTTAGGGGCCTTGAGTCAGGAACCAGGATCAAAGACAAAATAGCAGGAAAGAAGGCTACTATAGGGGAAGGCACAGCGTACGGGATCTCTGTCAGGAACAAGAGACAAGGACCCAATAGGCATTTCTTCTTATGTTACATAGCATTCCTACGCCTCTCCTGTACTCCTTTGGTCTTTGATGGTTTGGGTCTAGGATCAGTTCACTTGGACAGGTGAGGAGGCACCCTATGGGCTTCAGTTGGCTGTGGCCACCACAGATCAGGGAGCAGTGTTCAGTGGGGGAGGGATGGGGGCGAATTCACCAAAGAAAACTGTATTGTTGCCCGGAGGGTTGCAGGTAGGGGCTGTGGAGGCAGATGTGTGCCTCTGATTTTCTCAACCACATGCTCAAAAGCAGAGCTGAAGATGCTGGTCCCTCTTGTCTGTGTTTTGATCATGGGTGGTGAGTATTTTCTTTTTTGGGCTGAAACCAAACAGGGTCCTCTGTTGTCAAATCTATGAGCCAAGTAAACATTTCATTGTTATTCTTAGGAAAAAAAATCAATTGAAAGTCAATTTGCTGGGACTTCTAAATGCCAGGGTTCAGACTAATCTGTGAAACTACTTTCTCATTCCAAAAAGGTGGGAAGTGAGGAGGGCATTTCTAGAAAAGCCACTGGAATCACAGCTTGCAGGCACCTACCAAAGGCTGACACTTCCCCAGATGAGTGACTGGGGTGTGGGTGCCCAGTGTTCTCTAACGTGTGTGTGTGTGTGTGTGTGTGACTGCTTTTAAGCGGTACTCAGGGTCTGGAAGCAGGAGGCAGGACAGATTTGGAAGACAGCCTTACCTCAGTAAAGAGGAACTTGCCTGTAGACTGGTAACGTAGTATGTGCACGTCCCCTCCCCCACCCACACCTTTGGGCTTCTGGAGACAGAACTGCACTTGAAAGATGCGATTAAGCATTAAAAAAGTGTAAATTTCAAATTCAAGCTGCAAAGAGATAAAGTCAACTTGGGCTAATCTTCTCATTCTGTTTGCGGGGGTGGTGACTACAACGAAGGTTAATAACCTTGACCACCATTAGCCTAATCCACTGCGGTGCTGGATAGAAATCATTTTAATAATCTAAGTTGGTGGCTCCTAACCGGCAGGGGTTCTTGTAGCTTTATGAGTATTAACTCTAGACTCGTTTCACCAACAGCCCAAACTGATCAACACCTCTGGACTATAAAATACATGGCGAATGAGTGGAAGTAGTCTCAGTATGCGCACCTTAGCTCCTTTGGAGAGCCGGGCCCCTTGTGTTTAATAATACCAATCGCCAATTCCCGAGTGAAGATGAAATTAAGGAAATGTGGTGAGGTTCTGGGTGGGTCTGCCTTTGCTGTAGCAGCACAGAAGGCATCCTCAGAGGCGGGTGTGCTAGCCCACACCCCTGTAATCCCAGAACTTGCAAGATGGGGGCAGGTGTACCGTGAACTAAGGCCAACGTCTGCTGCGTGGTCAACCCCCACTCCCTCCAGGCTCCAGAAGGCACGACATGGCTTTGCTCTTATTTACTTCCCAGTGATTTCAGGAAAGTTCTCCTTGAACTTTCACTTCCTATGTGAAAGGTGATGTGACGGTGACTGTTAATGTCAACCTGATGAAATTTGGAATTACCTAGGTTACAAACTTGTGGGATGTCTGTCGAGGGTTTACTGAGGAGGGGTGAGAGGGGTCCCACATGTTCATCATTCCATGGCGGGGCTTCTGGACTGAAGAGAAGGCAGAAAGTGACTTGAACACCAGCATCATCACCCGGTGCTTCCTGACTGTGGGTACAATGTGACCAGTCGCCTCTAGGTCCTGCCTCTTCCTCCTTGATGGGAGGTGCTCTCAAACCATGAGCCAAAATAAACCCTTCCTTCCCCAAGTTAGCCAAGTATGTTGTCATAGCAACGAGACAGTTAGGGCTGTGAGCTGGACAGATGGACAGCCTGTTCTCATCAGCTCCCGAATTTCAGGGCCGGCATCTTGTTGCTTATTTTGTTCATGGGTATGAATGTTTTGCCTGTGTCTACGTGTGTGCGCCTGCTGCCCATTGGCCAGAGGAGGGTGTCGGATCCCCTGGGACTGGAGTTGCAGAGGGTTGATGGTGAGCCATCATGTGGGTGCTGGGAATGGAGGCAGCGTCCTCAGCAAGAGCGGCTGGTGCTCTCCCCTCGCTGAGCAACCACTCTGGCCCTCGCTCCCCTCGTGGCTTCCCACAGACATAGAAATGGGCCCTTTCCTGGGTGTTGGGGCCATGTTTCTCCTTTCTTGAACTGTTCCGTTCCTATTGACCTGCCGGAGTCACTGTTACTCACCCCCCTCCCCCGTCCATTTTGAAGAATTGGGGTGGGGCCTGCTTTGCTGTCTAACATTCTGTTTTTCTATCACTCAGTTATGTGTAATGTAATAATGGCTTAATTTTTTAAAGGTAAGAGACAGAATTTTATTTATGGTTGGATGCAGTTTTGAAAAGATAAATGAATGGGTTTAACAGCAGCTGCACTTCTTTTTTTCTGTTAAATTCAGCGACGTGCCTGCTAGCAAGGACAGTGTGTTATTTTTAACTGTTTTCCCCCTAATGAAAAATGCCAGCATGGTCCTCCCCAATCGTTACCCAGAGGTAAGGCCAAAGAAAGACATGGTGCCCAGACTGGCTGTGCCTGCAGAAGCTAAGCAGCCAGACAGAGCCACTGAGCTGGAATAACCTGGTGGCATTGTCTGCCTATGCACACAGCACTCGAATGCAGATTAGTGCAGGTTTAAGGGCTGAGGATTGAAAAGAAAGGGACAAAGCTGCGACCCTCCCCCATCTTTATAGCAACCTTGCCCCCTTCCATAGCCCTCTCCTCCCAGCCTCTCAAGAGGATGAAAGCAAAGTTGGGGACCTTGGGGCCAGGCTGGGCACAAGCAGGTGCCTTCGCCGGCACTGTTCCCACACAGCCAATCTCAAGCATCCGCAGGACCCAGAACAACCCTTGATGTCCTGTTGGATTGACAGGATGAATGGGCCTGGTGTGTTTGCTAAAGCTGCGGAGGGTGTTGTGCTGTGTGCAAAGCAGCCTGCCTCTGCTCAGACCATGGAGTCACTGCCTGGGGCTTTATCTGAACATAGCTAAGGGCTTGCCTCTTGTGGACAGCTGGGCTAAACTGAAGCCCTTTCCCGTGTCCTGTTGGAGGGGGTGATCTGGATCAACATTACCATTAGTCAAGGCAGCCTTGGTCTTGCTGTAAAAAAGCAATCTTTTCTAGGGGGTCGCCTTCTTTCCTTCCTTCCTCCCTCCTACCTTCCCTCCCTCCCTCTCTCCCTCGTTCCTTCCCTCCCTCCATCCCTCCCTCTTCCTCCCTCCCTCCTTCTCTCCCTCCCTCCTTCCCTCTTTCCTTCCTCTCAACTAAATTGACAATTCCCCCTTTAAAAATTCCCATTTAAGAGGCTGGGGAGATGGCTCAGGGGTTCAAATGCTTGCCAGACAAGTTGACTACCAGAGTGGGGTTACCCAGAACACACATAAATGCTGGATGGGCTTGACGCCCACTTATAATCCCAGTGCTCTCGGAAGCTGAAGACAGGGGACCCTTCGAGAAAGCCAGTTAGCCAGACTGACTGAAACAGCGAGTTCTGGGTTCAGTTGAGAGACCCTGCCTTCCTCAGTGTGGAGAGAGAGACTGAGAAGTCTGTAGACATCGACCTCAAACCTCCATGTTCACATGCATCACCCACCCACATGTGCCCACACACTTATGAACACGCATGTACACATACACACACATCACACCCATATCCGAACGATTTTTAAATACCCTGTTTAATGTTGAACATGGTGGCTCAAACCTATAATTCTAGCACTCTGGAGGCTGAGTTAAGTTCGAGTGATCTATCTTAAAAAAAAGGGGGGGATAAAAAACATAGCGAAGGGATGAAATGAAAACAGCTGCTCAATTTTTAGGGGTTTGTGTGTGTTGCTTCCCTCTTGTTTATTTAATGTTGTCATATCATGCCTGCACGTGACATAGTGTATTCTTCTGTTTCCATTCAGGAGTGAGGAACGCCACAGACTGAGCCCCCTCGACATCACAATCCCATGCCCTTTGCACAGTGAAGAAAGTGCAGCCTTTCCCAGATCCTCCAAACTACTAACCAGCCCCTCCTCCAAGTCTGATGCCCTTGGCTGGTTAACCGGAATCCTGGGGCTCACTGGTCACTAGCTGTGCAGAACAAACTTCTCATCCCGGGCACCCCCTGGGTGCCGAGGTTACCCAGTCCATTTAACTCCCCACCTCAATGGGTCAATTGCTGCCCAATTCTCTGTGGCCTCATTTTCCCACTGGGATAATGGGTGTAATATTTGACACCCCCTCTCCCAGGGGGACAGCTTTTGTGGCCCTTGGATGGAAGTGCTACAGACTGCAAGCATAAATGATGTCTGTTGAGTAATCAGTCAGAAAATACATTTGTTCATAAGGAGTTTTTAGAAGAGACCTTTCAGGAATGAGCCGCAATAGAAACAGAGCTAGATGAGTTTTTGAAAGACTTTTTGGTCAGAAACCCAGAAAAAATCCAAAATATTAAGTCCTCTGCATGAAAGCACCTAAGTCACATGATGATACTAAGTTTCTATCTAGAAAAATTCAAAGGAAGGAAACTGAGACTCAGGGCATCAGTTCAGGGGCTATGCTTCCAATGCATCTCCGCTGCCCAGATCCATCTACTGGCGGTCCTCTGTGTGTGCCTGCAGCCTGGAACTGCTGGGCACGGCTGTCTTTTTGGTTCCCGGATGCACCACAGGCTCTTTCTATTAACACGATGTACACAGGGCTGCTTGTGTCCACAGATGGAATTTTAAGGCACTTCACCCATGTGACAGCAGGACCTGACTCTGAGGAGCTCCTGGCTGTTGCCTGAGTGTCGCCACAGGCTGCTAGACAGATTTAATTGGTTTGAAGAAGAGCATAATGCAGCCTTCAGTTTCCGAGCGGGGCCCCGGGGACCAGAAAATCCCTCTGGAGCTTTTGATCCCATCATGCAAAAGGGGTCTTTGGCTGGGGCTGGGAGGCTGGGCATCTGTGGAAAGGAGGGGCCAGGGAGCTTTAGAGGGCTGGTGAGGGCCCTTCTGCCACCTGGGCTACGAGGAGGGCCTCCCCTCCAACCTCCACCCACAGTGTCACTGCATAGGACCTGCCATGGATCTGAGCCCCGCCCCCTGTAGGAGTCTGCCTCTTCTCGGAAGGCACCCAAATGGCAACACCAGCTGAACCATGCTACCTCGTGAGGGTGTGAGGATGTGGACCTTCTGACTCAGATGTGTGAAAGGTAGGTACCCAACTGAGCAAAAACCTTAGAGTTGCCTTGGGGAGACCACAGACGTTGATTCTAATGGGTGTTACAAAGTTACGTCACCCTTTCTTATTTCCCTCAAGGAAAACAAAGTCATTGAAGCAGAAAAATATTTCTCAAATATAAACTAATTTCTTCTTTGGTGACTTGTTAAAGTTTACCACAACTCCATTCAAAACTTTCAGGCACTTTGATTTTTTTTTGTCTTTTAATATCCTTTACCTTTTTAATAAAAAGTAAAAAACAAACAAAAAATACATCCATGTCCTGAATAGAACCTTTCTATGTAAAGATCTCACTAAACAAATAAACATAAGACCAAACAAAATATGAAGCTGTGAATAGCAATATAATATATTATGAAGCATTTATATATGTATGTATATATTATATATGAATGTGCAGGTATATGTGTGTGCACCTATGTATGTATAAATATGTAAATATTTGCCTACATACACATCACACACACATACATATTTATACTGACCTCTTTTAGATTGAAGTCCAAGGCACTTTTTACAATGAACAGGTTAAAGCCATTAATTTAGAACATAACTGTTTCTGAGTACATATCAAATTAGGGTGCCAAATATCAGAGCTCACATCTTTCCTTGCTTGATGTGATGAACAGGAGAATAGCCTGTCCAGGAGATTAGGAATGTGTCTGAATGGCTGAACTGGGTTCTTCTTTAGTCCCCAAGAGGTGGGTCCTCACTGGTAATGCTGGCTTCTTCAAGGAGGGACAAGAGAGCAGATGCCCAATTTCTGCTCTGTGCTGAGACCTAGGGGTCTTCTGTCCGGGGACTTGCCTATGGCCCCACCTTATACCCTGATGGTCCTCAACCATAGGCTAAAAGTGGGTTTTGAGGAGGCTCAAAGCTGTGACTTGAGTGTTTTTCACATCGGACTAGAGAAAGGCCACCTCCTACTGACATCGGCGTAGTTCATGTATGTCGTTTAAACTGTGCAATATCAAATGGAATTTTGAGATGCACGCATCTTCATCCTTACAATCATGTAAGACCTGTCCATCATCAAACAATTTGGTAACCGAGGCCCGAGGAAGAAACAGCTTACTTTTTGTTCTATTGGTTACCGTGGTATTGTGGTGAGGCCAGCGCTTCTCAGTGTTGATCGCATACGATCACAACAGCTCTGGTTAAAATGCCCCCGTGACTGAGTGGGCTTGGTGTGGGGCCTGGGGATCTGTTTCTAACAGGTTTAAGGGGTGTGAATGCTGCCAGTCTGTGGCTCTCACCTGGAGTAGCAAGGATTAGCATATGGCTACACACATGAATTATTGCCCAGAGCCTCCTGCTTCCTCTAAATCTGGGATTTGGGTTTGTTTCCTTGGTTGTGGATGAGTTACAGCTTTAATGGGAAAGGTCAGAAGAATATATGTGTCCTCTGTACATGTAAACATCGTAGCCGCTCTACAAAGTGCTACACAGAAAAGCAGAATAGACAGCTCCGTTTTTGAGCAGGAGATGTATAAAGAAACAAATCAATGTCTCTCAGTCAATTACCAAATTGAGAGTTAGCTCATTTCCATTACCCAGTGAGTAAGTAATGTGCTAGAAACAGGTGCCCTGGAGTTCTGATGGCTTTAATAGGACTCAGCCTAGCATATAACTGAGGAGTAACAGATGCTGAGAGAAACAAATGCAATTCGCATGTACAGATAGCCCTAGCTACCCCAGCGGACTGAAGCCGGCCATTTAGATACCTGACTATCATCGGGCATAACTAATGGGTGCCACGGAGGCCCAGGCCTCACCTAGGTTGAAACTCAGTGAGACTTGGAGACTTCTAGACACTTGTCCAGGACAGCACCTGTGGTTTTGCATGGATCAGTGTGCATTTTCAGAGTTTGTGAAGGGAGGAGGCAGGCAGGTAACTCTCCCGTGATGCTACAAGGTCTGCACCTGTCCAGTGTTCTGTGGAAGTCATGCCAGGAAGCAAGGTCCTCACAGAGAGATGTTTCAACTTACGGAAGACTTCCCCCGTCTGCTTTGGTACAGGATAGGACCCTGGCAATCCAAAGGAAGAAACTCTGAAACTCTACATGTGTCTTAGGCGCTATAGCAAGAAGGAGGGAATGGGTTTCATGACTGCTGAACTTTGCCATAAGGGGAAATGTGATGATCAGAACCACTTCCTAATGGAGAGTAAATAGCAGATGCGGAAACCAGCTCTCTGCTGGGTCATCTGCTGGGTCTCACTCATTGTTGCCATCCTGTCTCCTCTTTGGGTACCAATGATAAACTTTAGAAGCCTTGATCCTCCAGAGAGATTGCCAACTCAGAAAAGAGCATCTGCAGTTCCCACTGGCCCCTGCCTGCAGAGAAATCTAATCCTGGTTGTCCCCTTATACAAGAAACTCAATGCTTAGAATTTTGAGTATTTTGAGGCAAAGTAAACGAGACTCTTTTTGATGCCCGATTCTGATTCTGCCAGAGGAAAGCTGGTCGTCTGTGCCTGAGGCAATGATTTACAGAGTGGGTCCTTTGCATTTACATAGAAAGCGTCTACACTTTACTAAACTGGCTGACAGCTACTAAAGGAGAGATGGCTTTAAAAATCACTTCTGAAATGGCTTGATAGAATTTAGGGTAGAATTATTCTTCTAAACTCATGCCTGGCTGCTATTTTTGTCTCCACTACTCACTCAGTCTTGGAGAATGAGAGTATGGCCGTCCAGCACCCTGGGTCTTGGGGTCAGGCAACCACTAACAGTGACGTGTACTCAGAAGCAGTCGTTAGGAAAGCAGGCTGTCACTCAACCTGCTAAAGACTAGCTTGATACAAAATGTTAATCGAAAGTTACAATATATTTTATAATATAGCAATATATTTCATATTTAAAATAAACTGTTATGCTTTCTCCTATCATTAAAAAATAGCAAGCAGTACAGAGGCAAGATGCAAATTCATACCGAAGCCTGACTGGTTTGGAATATAAACACTTCCGTTTCTGTGTTTGCTATGGAAATGGTTCCTCCATCAACATCCTGTCACTCGTGTTTGTTGTCCTCTTGTGGCCAGCACAGAATGGAGAGTCTGGGACTAAATCCATCGCATCATTGTGCCATTAAACACCATGTATGATGAAGGTGCATCAGCTCTGGTCGGGATCCGAAAACTGACACAGCTGGAGAATGCCATTTACCCCGTCCTCCCTCTGGGAAGCTGGATGCCGACTGCTCCATCAGATTGTTTTTTTATTTACCACTGTTCCTATTTTCATTTACTTATTTATTTATTATTTGCCAGAAATGTCAGCATCTCTTTGGGATCTTAACTGGAGGTTGGTATTGAATTTTGTGCTTTTCCTCTACCAGCTTGATTGGTCACAAGGTCCCTTGTCAGTCCAGGCCCGGGGTTACAGCTTCCAGAATGCGTTTCTCGGTGTGTAAACAGCTGTTGCAGGGCGCATGGCACCTGGTTTGGAGGTGGTCTGTTGAAGAGTTGACAATGTTGTTCAGAGGGAACTCCAGTTCATGTTTGAGTATTTCCAGTATGGTGCGAGACAAAAGAATCACAGTTACATTCCCCTCTGTGGTTGCCGACTGACCGCTGCGCAGGGCACTTGTTTATGAGACTATTCAACAAAAATCTACATATTCCTTGTCTGGCAGGAGTTAACTGTCTATGACTTTTCATGCAGCCTGGTACAAACTTCCTACGACCACAGGCAGACACTACTGCTACCCCTCCATCCCCCCGTCTTAGGGCTAGCTATAATCCCATTCCTCAAATGTTTGCTTTGGCAGTAGTGGAGAAGGAAGGGATGTTATCCAAGGTGTGATCCAGTCAACTGACCACAGGGTAAAGAGGGGACTGTTTATGCCCGCCAGGAAGCCTCCAGATAGCTGTCAAAGGGGCAGAAACCAAAGACCAAGAAGTCAACAGGGACAGCAAACTGACCACTAAGGGATCCTTAATCTGCTTCTAGAACCTTTGGGGGAGTGGCTGTATGAAATGGGACCTGTTTGAACACTTAAAAGCAGTAGCTTAGGAAGCAGTAACCTGCTGGTAGCACAATGGTGTCACAGTGTCTCAGCCAGGCTTCTCTAGCAGTAACGACGTTGTCTGTTTTGAGATGAAACACTGACTCTTAGTTTTGTGTACACTGTTTGTCACACTCCGGAGGAGGGGGCTTCCGGAGCTATGCACAAATCCCATATTTCTCCCAGATATCTCTCCTATTTCCCTCAGATAGAGATTTTATTCTCTATCTGATGACTTTTTGATAACTATCACTACATTCAAATGTAACATCTAAGTGTAGGTTAGTCAGTCAAGGCGCTGTACGGACGATAATGGTTCCATTTTGTCCTCTACTAAATACTTTGAACTTAATATTAACTCATCTTCACCTTTAAATACACACAAATCAAGATATGTCGGCCAGATATGCAATCCAGTCTCAGACTTTTATCTATTCTAATTTTGTATCACTAGTTTTTTCTCTTTCCATGACTTCTTTTCAAGGAAATTGCTGCAAAGTGAAGAGGGAAATCTCTAAATATATTAAAGTCATTTTTTTCAATGTCTTTTCTTGGCCTTTAATAACCTTCTCAGCACTTGAGACCTATTTCATGTGCAATTTCTACATCTTCTAATTTGTAAGGTTGTTGTTACATACAGGAATGGACCCGGCTGGGGTCACAGTCACTGATGACTCATGGCTACACCCCTCTCATTCTTTTGGATCAAAGCTAGAGACATGATGTCATGGAGATATATATTATGAAGGTGGCAAGAATGGCTCGCAGATACTTCATGATAATTTATTGATGATGATCACATACGTCGCCTTTGAGCCAAAGGTGCGGGTTTTTATTTGTACTTCAATCTAAGGAGGAATGGGCTTCTACTCGGGTGTAAATTACCAACTGATGCTATCTATGTCCTGAAATCCCACTGAGCTCAGTGGCCTTGGATATCACAGTACATTCCTGACTTCACAGTACATGAAGCTATATAATATGGCTTAAGCAATGAGAGGGTGGCTCTATATTTTTAGTTCAAGTGTCAGATATTTGGGGAGCTATTGTAGTGCTTCTGCCTGCTACTGCATTCCTGGAAAGATGGTAGGAGGGCCTCTGCCAGGGGTCAGCCTTCTAGGAGTGGGTGGAATTTGACGAGTTCAGGGATAGAGTGACATTATAGTAATTCATGGTTTTAATACGCAGCCCACTCTTGAGAATCAAACCTGTCTCACTACCACACAGCCATAGGATCCATTAGCCTTCTTCCTCACCACCTGAGACGCTCAGGAGATGTGAGATTGGCCAAAAGATGTAGGAATACATCTGGGTGAGCTATAACCAAGATTCCTAATACCTAGGTCATCGAGGGGCGATTGTATTTGCAAGAGAAGCATTACTTCCCACATCAAGCTGAAATGCTAGGACAGAGAAGCAGCAGTTCATTTGCCATTGCAGAACCAACCTGCAGATCCTGTCACTTTACGAGGTATATTCTTTCGCTAGACACAAAACCACACACAATTATGACACTACCAATGGATCAGGCCACCCTACAAATGCCCACATCTCTCCGATGCTAGTGGTACCCTCTTGGAAACAACTCTAGTCATTCTCTTGACTAGCAATGCTAACTTAGTCTCCAGGGTTTTCTTAGCAAGAAAATCAACAAAGAAGACAGATTTTGAACTATGTCCAGACCAGGATGGATACTGGCAGGAGAAGCTATGGGATGCTGCATGTCATTTGTGTGAAATGGAGACTAAATCCCTGGCTGGGCCATGTTTACCATCACACAGCCCAGGATCACAGCAGGATGCAAGGAGAGAGCAGGCAAACACAGCTGAGGGCTATAGTCCAAATGACCAGGGAGTGGGCCCATCAGTAGCCTTCGTTTTGCAATCAAGGGTACAAAGAAGTCACAAGGCTATTTCATCTGTTTGTATATGTGCCTGTAGGTTTGGTTAGACTGAAAACAGGAACCATGTTTGGGATAAAAATAATCTTTCAGATAATTAATAATTAAAAGAACAAGTAAAAAGAATTGAACACTAACGACAAATGTGGCCTCTCTGGTGTGTGCAAAACAGCTAATGAAAATGCTCAAGGGACTGATCAAGATAGGCCATTAAGAAGATAGGCCATTAATAAAACAGCAGCAGGCTGGGTGTGGGTGAGTGGGCTAGCATTGTTTAGCATGCATGAGGCCGCAGGTCTGGTCTCCAGCGTTGCAAAACTAAACACAAGACAGCAATAGCAAGATGGAACAACAAACAAGAGACTTAGCCAAAGACCAAAGAGTGACCCCACGCCACAGTTGCCTACCTCACTATCTAGTAATTCCCTGTGCTGAGAGGACCAGGCCCAGCATTGCACAAGGAAAATTCACGCAGTAAGGCAGTGCCTAGGGTGGCCATGACAGCCGGTCACAGGACTACTCTCAAGATAGCAACCAAACACAGATAACACCCTTTCGCTCTACCAAAGACAGATGAACTATTCCACATATAATTTCTTACCAGCAGAAATCAAAGACCTCTGAATGGGAAAAGTGATAAATGACATGACAGTTTTCACACCACACCTGCTGAGTATGGTCAGATCATGGAGCAATGAAAACAAAACAAAACAAAAACAAAAAACCCAAGTGCCTGTCCCTATCCTGGATCTAGATGCTTCTGGAGTCTCTTGGAGTTTGAGATTCAGTGGAGCAGATTTTGTCTCAAGATGAACATGGCACAATAGGAATAGGCTTCTAGAAAGTGTCCACACACACGTGTCCTGGGGCTCCCTGTGTTCTCACAGTGTTTCTTTTTGAGGTGACCTCAGCTAAGGTAGAAGGGACCGCAGGAGCCCCTCCCCACCCTTCTCCTCCCCACTCAGCAGGGAGGCCCTGACATTGTCAAGCCCCTGGGCCTGGAGCTGCTGCTGGATGAAGATGCCCCTGCAAAGCCCAGACAACAGCTCTGCTCGCTACGGTGGTTTTGGGCACACGTGCCCCCTCATCTTCCACATACTGACATCCCAGGATGCAGGGTTCATCAGCAAACAGCTTATTTGGCTGGAAGAAAACTCTTCAAAAGCTGTCGCTTTTAGACCTCTGCTTATACCTCCAGAATGCCAACAGTTTGGGGTTGACACGGCTGGGCCAGGTGGGGTGTGTGCCCAGGGCATCTTGAAGGAGGGACCTGCATCTTCAATGATGCAGAGTGTGGCCAGTACCTGCTAACTTCCTCAACCAAACACACCTCACACTCGTCTCAATGCAGATTTAGAGCTCACTCTCTGTGTGCACAGCAAGGCACCAGGTCTCTTTCAATCAGGCTCAGCACAAGCAAAAAAAGGACCTGGATCGGACAGCTGTGTGTGTATGTGTTCGATATTATTATTGGATGGAAAATCTGGCTTTTTATTTGTCTACGTCACCCCCTGCTCCCATCTAATTTGGGTATGTCCATTTTGGAAAGTTCTGGGCATCTCTCTTCTTACTTTTACCACCCAGGCGCTTCCTTGGACAAAAGAACGGGAGAGAGGTGGCTGAGGTCCCGAGGCAGCTAGGAGTGCATCCCCAAACCTGATACCATCCTTGCCCGATGCACCTCACTCAGCTGCTCCAGAGTGGCTGTCCCTCCCCACCTCCCTGTGAAAACCTGAGATTGAGCAAGGATTTCTGTCCTCCGCAGGCTCTGCAGCAAGGGCCCCGACAGAGGCGTTGCTTCCAGTCACCTCCTCTTCCAGCTCCCAAGTAGAGGCACCTAAACAGAGATTAGATTTCTGGTTTCAAGGCATGTCGAACAAAGCACGCTGAGAGTCCGTGAGTTTGCTCATCAGCTCCATCTCTCTTCGCTCCGTGCCCTGGTCTGAAACTTCCTCGACACCAAAGCGACCAGGAGAGAGTTGATTTGCATCTTAAGACCTATGGGTAATGCTTCTGGAGCGGGGAGTTTTATTTAGCAACTGCTTGAACTGGTGTATGGGGTTGGGAAGGAGGTGGAGCTGATCCCGATCGGGCTGTCAGAGGGAAGTGTGTGGCTAGTTCCCACTGCCACACTGATGCCTCGGGCCTCCACGAAGGCAGTGAGCAGTTGCTGCTGCTGCTGACGCAGGGTGTCTGCGATGAGCAGGGGCAGGGAATTGAAGCTGGCTGTGAGGTGCTCCAGCTTCGATTCCAGGCTGCCGATCTGCTTCTCCAGGTCTTCACTCCGATCATTGAGCTCCGTGATTAAGTCATACATGACGTTCTGCATCTGAGGGAGACAGGAAGGAGACCATCACCACAGAGGAATCCGCCATGGAAAGACAAATGCTCTTTACCTTGCAGCATGAGCCACCTCTGCCCAGCTGTGTCCCATGCCACCAAAGGACTCCAGGACTTTCCAGGTGGTGGACAGGCTGAGCTGGGTATTCTATTTTTCTTTTTCTTAAAGGAGTAGGTATCAATGATCAATTTTATAATTTGCTTTGTTCTTTTGATGCAGGGTCTCACTATGTAATCCTGAATGGTCTGGAACTCAGTATGTAGACCCGGCTGACATTAAACTCACAGAGATCTACCTGTTTCTGCTTCCTTAGTGCTGGTATTAAAGGCATATGCCACCATGCCCAACTCAATTATCAATTTTAAACAGTAAATATGCACGGAAGAGAAGAAACATTCCCCTTTTTCTGGAATGGACTACGGCTCTGCAGGGCTCTCAGAGTCATGCAGAAGCCTGGCATCATCTACTGATTCAAGAGAAGGCCCTGAGGTGGGGATGGCCAACGCCACAGACTCGCAATTAACAAGTCAAGGTTGAAGTGCAAGCAAGCCTTCAGCTCACTAGCAGGGCCCTTAACCTCTCTTACCCTGGCCTCCTTAGAAAACTGACGTTAATAACTACGCATGGTTACAAGATTGCATCCCCACCCCCTTTTCTATCCAGCAGCCAGAATATAAACTGCAATTAATGCCCTGGGCATGATCCTGGACCAGAAGGGGCTATCCTGCTGAGGAGCCACTCTTGCTCCTTGGCCTAAGAGGAAGTATACAGCCTGGATCGGATGCCTCTTTTAAGGGTCGTCCCACCCGGCTGAGGTCTTGATCGATGAGAGATCGATGAGATTACACTTTACTTCTTGGAGCAGTCATGCCTCCCACACTGCCTGGTAGATGCTGCCTCAAGGGTTCTCCTGATGGCGTCCTATGCCCAGCACTATCATACACTGTTCTGGGACCCCACTTGTCACCAGAAGTCCCCGCACAGACACCCTGTGGCCCCTGTGCCAGCTGCAGAATTCTAGACTATTCAACACCCAGTCAACAAGCATCAGGGGTGCTGGCTGTTACTTGGGAGGAAGATTTAGGAGTCTCACACTTCTTGAGTGAGAAAAGGAGTCCTGGGGGAGACAGGGCTTGTGGAACTGTGTCTCTGTGGGATTCTGGAGATCGGCCAGTGACACCCTAATCTCATTTCACATGTCATTACTTTAGGACAGCTGTTCTCAACCTGTGGCTTGCGATCTCGGATATTTACACTATGATTCACAACAGCAGCAAACTACAGTTAAGAAGCAGCCATGAAATAGTTTTGTGGTTGGGGTCACCACTGCATGAGGAACTGTATTAAGGGGTTGCAGCATTAGGAAGGCTGGGAACCACTGCTCTAGGAGGATGTGGAAGCCATAGTGACCCCAGAGGAGCAGGCAGCAGGAAGCAGGCAGCAGGAAGCAGGAAACAGGCAGCAGCGTGAAAGGGAAACAGAAGATAAAGGCAGAGCACACAGGCGGCTGGGGGTGACCGTGAGATTGCAGGAGCGCCCCCACCCCTTGCAGTTGGCATACTGGAGGGGTTGGTATGAAGACAGTTCCTCTCTGGTCAGCTCTGCCCTCCCAGGAAGAGGGTGACATCCTCAGAGAAAGGGTGGCCTGAGGAGTCATGTGCCTCCTCGCAGGGCATGGTCCCCCCAGAACGTGTGAACCACACATCCCAAGCTGGACCACAGGGGCACCTTGGCGAACTGCAGTGTGTGACTGGGTGATGGTCATCTTGCTCCTTGGGTCTGGTTTCCTTGTCTATGCTCATAATAGATCCTGTCACTTTTGAGACCTTCACAGCTCACAAAGCAGCTTTACAGTTCCTATCTTATCTGTTCCCCAAGCTTTAGATGGTGGGAGTGGTTTTTACTTCTCCATTGTTCTTCAAAAACTGAAGGAATTGGGCAAGGGCTCCAAGCCCTCCCAGCTCTGACACTATACATGGGGCCCTTTGATACAGAAAATGCCATCGGGAGGCCACGTGCTTAGTCTAGGGAGGAGCGAAACTCAGAGCTGGGCGGTGGGAAGTCAGGAGGCGGAGCGCCAAGGGAAAGGGCGTCAGGAGGCCCCTCCCTTGCCAGTGCTGTTGACAGGGTGCTGAGCTAATGGAGACCAACACGGAAACACACACAGCTGGTCTTACGGGAGGAGAAGACAAAGACTAGATGGACATCAAAGACGGCCTCCTCCTCAAGTCTTAAGCACGACCCTCACCACGGCTCTGCACATTCTTTATTCCCTCCCCATTACTTATGGCTTAATTTCCCAACGCAGCAATCAATGCAAGAGAGCCTCTCTCTCTCTCTCTCTCTCTCTCTCTCTCTCTCTCTCTCTCTCTCTCTCTCTCTCTCTCTCTCTCTCTCTCTCTCTCTGTGTGTGTGTGTGTGTGTGTTGCATGCATGCATGTGACTCTGTGGGTGCCAGTACATGGGGGCAATCATGAGGAAGCCAGAGGAGGACATAGAGAATCTTCCTTTACCATTCTCTGCCTTTTCCCCCTGAAACAGTGCCTCTCACCTAACCAGAAACTGCTGTCTTGGCTAAACTAGGCCTGGCCATCAAACTTCACTTCCTCTGCCCACCAATGGTGAAGTTACGGCACATGCAGCTCTGCCTGGCTCTCAGGGTGGGTGTTGGGCATTCAAACCCAGACCCTCATGCTTACTCTCATCTCCACGCCATCTCTGTCAGCCCCTCAGTGAGTCAGGGCACCTCTGAGGGACTGGGCAGCACTGCAGCAAGATGAGCTCAAAGCTCGGGTTTCCCTGGTATTCCTGGGGACCATCAGTCACAGTGTGTCCTGCTGGTGCGAGGAAGGAAGGCAAGCATTGCTAGCACTTGCAGAAATATCTTGGGGCATCTCACTGAGCCACACCCAAGGCCCCCAGAATGGGTCCTAGCTGTTTGCTTCTTCCCAGCCACAGCTGATTTGTCTAAAGGCAGACATGTGACTCAAACTGGCCAATCAAATCACCTCTTTTGAAAACTCAGAATTAAGAACAAAAGAAAGTCAATTAAGTCCAAGGTGACCTGGGTTGCGGGGAGGGGAGGAAGAGGTGGCTCTTTGAACAAGCACCCGAGCATGAGAGGGGTGGTGTGAGAATGTCCCCTGATAATCCCTTATCTCCTTGGAATAAATGCCTCCATTTACAATGGACTTCTAGTAGGTTCTGGAAACTGGAATTCTATTAACCAACATGCCCAAGACTCCAGGGGTCCATTCACTTCCTCCCACACTGGGCTCCGGGAAATCCCACACTCCAGCTGAATGCCCCTTCCATTGGCCCACGCGTCTGCGGGCATCTTCCCGGCTGTGATGGAAGCCCTCATAGGCATAGGAGGCCCTTTCTTTGCCTCGACCCCTCCATTGAATGAGGCGCCTGCACGTGGCCCAGCAACCAGCAATTTCTGCTTGCAGGCTCTTTTCAAAGGGCACCTAATCGGCCTGAGGGAGTTCCCTTTGCTTTCCTAGGGAATGAGGTTCCATTACAATTGACATCTGCTGGAATGTTCTGCCAGCCTGGCCCTGGGCTATGCACTTGCTATATAATTTCTATCAGAAGGCAGTGGGGATAGGGGTGGGGGTGGGAGCCCTCCTGGTCAGATCGCCCACGCTTAGCTCTGCCTACAGTGCTGATTTTCAAGAAGAGTCTCTTTCTGGTGTTTATGGCAGTAAAGGCACAAAACACTGAACAACAATGCCATATTGGGCCTTAAGACCTTGGGCTCTCAGGACCTCAATGTTCACTGTCAGTTGTCTGCCTGTTGTGAAATACACACACAGGCACACAGATACACACAGACACACACACACAGACACACACACACAGACACACACACAGACACAGATACACATAGACACAAACACAGACACAGACACACAGACATATAGATACACACACAGAGACACACACAGACATACACAGAGACATACATACATACATACATACATACATACATACACACAAATACACATATGCAGACACACAGAGACACAGATACACACAGACACTCACACAAACATACACACACAGACACACAGTTCACAGACACACAGACACAGATATACACAGACGGACATACACAGACATATAGATACATACACAGACACACACACAGACATATAGATACATACACAGACACACACACAGACATATATACATACATACATATACACAGATACACATAAACAGACACACACACATACATACAAACACAGACACACAGATGCACAGACACATAGATAGACACAGACACAGACACATAGATATACACAGACACAGAAGACACACACACACACACACACACACACACCACTACCACCATCTATTTCATCTATTTGAGGTCAGGAAAACCTGGACTGTAAGGATCAGAAGACACAGGAAAATGAATTTCTATTATAACAACAAATTGAAAAGAACCGTCTGAAGTCTCCATAATCCAGGCCATCTGCAGGGCCCTTCCCTTGCCAGCGCTTGTTGACAGGATGCTGAGCGAATGGAGACGAGCATTTGGTCCTCACTAAAGTGCTTCCTGTGTGACTCCAGTCATCTTTAGAAGCCCCTCGATGCACAGCTAATAAACAATGTATCAGCAAGCTAATTAGTTATGAGCAAAGACAAATCTGCATTATTTAACTTAAGAGACATATGCCAAGTGTTAAAGACAGGACACAGCGGTAGATCACAAATGTAAAAAAGCATGAACATAGACATTTGTTAATCAAAGAGACGTGTCTTTGCCTTCCTGGTCCTGCACTGTGCTCTGTGGATGTGGGCCAGGTCTGTCCCGGGTGCCACTCACCTTAGAAAGGTCCACCAGGGTGTTGGCTTGGTCACTCAGCTTCCTTTGCTCCATCTTGACACCCCTCAGTCTGTGAGGAAGAGATGGGACAAGGGGTTCAAGTCCATGCTGAGTGCTAGGCCCTCACTGCACCTGAGCTTGGAGCTTAGCACTGGGACCTTGAACACAGGCAGTAGCTGAGACAATTAGAAGGCAAACTCTGTCATCTCCATTGCCCCTGTCACTTCCTTACCAGTCTCATCAGTCCACTGCCTGTCTGGGCTGTTGTACTGCCTCTGACGTCTGACTGTCCAGGCTTCCCAAACCTCTGGATCTGAACTAAGTTTTCCCTTTGCTTTTCTGCCCTATTTATGAATTTACTGATGAGCTTATTTAAGGTGGGGGCAGGGTATCAATTTGTAGCTCAAAACTGGCCTCAAACTGAATTTGTAGTCTAGGGTGACTTTCAACTCATGGTGATCCTCCTGCCTCAGCCTCTTGAGTTTGGGGATTACTACCATAAACCACCATAACCAGGTTCCTACTATACTTTTAAAAAACTTATTCCTCTATTACAAAAGGAACCACTGAGTTGCAGTGTGTGTGTGTGTGTGTGTGTGTGTGTGTATGTGAACACACACATGTGTGAAGGCACGCAGGTCTGTATGTATGCTTGTTTCTGTGCATATATGTGTATGTCTGTGTGTGTGTCTATGCATGCGTCTGCCTGTGTGTGTGCATGGGTGTCCATGTGTGTGTGACTGTGCATATGTGTGTGTCCATATATGTCTGTGCACATGTGTGTGTCCATGTGTATGTCTGTGCTATGTGTTTGTCTTTGTGTGTGTTTGTGCATATATGTGTGTCTTTGTGTGTGTGTCCATGTATGTATGTCTGTGCATATGTGTGTGTCTTGTGTGTATGTTCATGTGTGTCTGTGCACATGTGTGTGTGTCTTGTGTGTGTCCATGTGTGTCTGTGCATGTGTGTGTGTCCATGTGTGTCTCTGTATACCTGTGTATGATATCTGGGTGGCATGAGAGCCTGAGCCCTTGCTCTGATCTTTTTACCCACCCCCCCTTGCAGCAGCCTGCCTACTGCCTCTCGGGAGCATCGAGCGAAAGGGCAGTGTGGCCTGGGTGCTTTGTGATTAGAGCAGAGTGGATTTCTTCCGTGCCTCCCTGGTTTGAGAACTTGCAGCAGAGCTGTGGTATCCTGCATTCAGTTTGGCTCCCTGGCACAGGGCTCTGGTACTCACTGGTGGATAGCTTGGAGGAACTTCCTCTGGTGTTTCCTGACTTTGGCGTGGTCAATCTTCTTTAGCAGCTTTGTGTGTTTGTAGATTAACCATGTTTCCCGGAGGACATTGGCGGCCGCATTCTTGATCTATGGAACAGAAGATAAGCCGCTGTCAGGTTAAGTCCTGGGTTCACTCAATTTGTTTTCCGTGCATGTATGGCTACCATCTCCCTCCTGAGAAAGTGCTTTCTCAAAGAGCTATTTTCTTAATCAAGAGCATGAAACACAGAAAAAAGGCTTACAAAACATCTCGCTGGGCATTGGTGGTGCACACCTTTAATCCCAGCACTTGGGAGGCAGAGGCAGGCAGATCTCTGTGAGTTCGAGATCAGCCTGGTCTACAAAGAGCTAGTTCCAGGACAACCTCAAAAACCACAGAGAAACCCTGTCTCGAAAAAAAAAAACAAAATAAAACAAAAAAAAATCTCTTATTAATCTTGTATGGGGGCTGGGCTTTGGTGGCACACACCTTTAATCCCAACACTTGGGAGGCAGAGGCAGGCTGATCTCTGTGAGTTTGAGGCCAGCCTGGTCTACAGAGCAAGTTCCAGGACAGCCTCCAAAACAATACAGAGAAACCCTGTCTCAAAAAAAAATCTTGTATGGGAAGCTGGAGCTTGGAGTTGAGAGGCATTTCTCTTCCGTCTTAACGGTTTCATCGCTGCCTCTCAGCCGCCATTGCTGATGCTATATTTAGACAAGCTGCTTAGCAAGTCCTTGAAGCCTGGGGTGCAGTTTGGATCAATAAACACATGCCATAGGTGCACTCATATTTAGGGTGCCACACTTCACTTGAGAGTAATAGGGTCCCTACCAAGTGGAGATTTAAACAGGTGTCTCTGAGGAGATGTCTTTCCTCCAAACCTCAGTGACAGGTACCAACAAGGCCACTGTTCCTTTCCTAAACGACCTAAGATTATGCACTGCAATTTCACATGTAAATGTAATTGGCACAAAACCGAGATCATCCCAGGGATGTCTGAGAATCAGGGAAGATGCTTAGGTGTGAGAGCACAGTCGTTTCCCTGACACTGGCTTCCCGAGGCTCCGTAGTCACACAGTTCCACACACAACTCTGTCATCTGTTGACATGGAAACCACTGATATCACCCAGCTCACGACTGAGCTGAGACATATCAATGGCATCCAGATGGCAGGGGACAAGGTTTGAACCCAACACAGACATCTTCAGCACATAGCAGCAAGAACAAGAGAAAAGACCCCGTATGAAGCACAGCCTGAACGTAGTTTTGATTAACCGCCTCCATTTCTGCCAGCTATGCATGCTGGCACAGGAACACAGGCCTAGGGCCTGGAAGTGAGGAGACCAGCCTAGAAAAGATCAGGTGACTTGCCAGATAGGATTTTAATAAAACCAGAGAGTACAGACTGGCTTCTTCAGACCGACGCCAACAGATGGGGCGTAGCCACCATGCTGAGACGTGTGGGAGCCTGGGAAAGGTTGCTTTGCAGGCTGATAATATGTGTGCGTGTTTCAAAAATCTATTGCTAAGGATGGGTTACAGTCTTCATTGGTGCTGATGTGATGTATTTCTTAAAAGAACATCCAAGTCTTCTCAGGAATGTCTAAGTGACATAAATATTGCTTTTGTTATTGTTGTTCAGGAAAATGTATCTACTGCAAGAATGGTTTTAAGTGTTTCATTGGCCACCTCTGGCACTTTCTTGTCTGACAGTAAGTAGGTGGCAGGGAGTTGAGGCTGGGGATGGCCAGTGTCTGGTTAGCAAGGAGGGGCAGGTGGATGATGGGCTCTGGGCCTTGGTTCTGGTTGGCTAACGAGGTGGTAGGGTAAGGGAGGGCTTTCTCTCGGCAGAGAAGATGCTGCCGCTGTCCCTTAAAGGGATGGGCAGTTTGCTATAGCATCTTTACAGTTTCCGTGGGCACTCAGCCTCCAGGGAAAGCCTTAAAGATAAGTAGGAGGGAAAAAGCCTGCCCAAACCTTTACAAGAATGGGCTGGGCCCTGGTTACACAGTCCCTTTTTAGGAATGCTCATAGAGCCACAGAATAACAAAACCGACAAGCCTTTGACATCGGTCTCTGTGTCCTGCTAATGAACATTTGAAATGGGAAAGCCTGTAGGCCCTGTGCATTAGTAAGCAGCTTAGGAGCAAATGCATAAGTATCTATAAGATGAGGGGAAGCTATCTTGGGCTAACACACACACACATACACACACACACACACACACACACACACACACACACACACGCCTCAGTCCATCAGCTTACCAATGGCAAGCAGTCAGTGTGGATTTGAGTACTATATAAATCTCAAGGTGTCAGACAGACATTGGTTATTATTATACAACTCAAGCTTTCCACTTAAAACAGAAGGAAACATTTTCTGAGATGGGATGAAAGGCCAGGTGCACACAGACAGCTAATGGCCGAGTCTAATCAACAGTCAGGTCCAAGAGGGGCATATGGTTCTTGTACGGTCTGAAGGGAGACAGATCTGGACTTCATCTGAATTCAAACGGGACCATTTCCTCTTTCCCAGGATCAAGGAATTGGGAAGGATGTTAGTTTGGTTTTTGTCTTGCTTTTTAAAGTCATTCTGGCCCCCACTCAGCATCATGACAGAACACAGACTTCAACTCTCGCCTTTAACACCAGCCTGAATGGAAGGCCCTGAAGTCACAGTTTGGCCAGGTGGCAGAAAAGCATCATATCATCTTTGTGGATTTGAGAGGGAGGCCCCAGAGCATTTGGAAAGTAACGTGACGTGTGAGCCCTTGCGTTGACTGAAATTAATTGCTAGCAAACAGCCAGGCACAAAGCTGAGTAGATCAATATCTGTGAGAGAAAAAGCAATAGGCTTTTAACTGCACTTGGCTCTCCCGAGTCTCCCTCCATTTCACCTGGCGACTGGCGCTGAGCATGGTTGACAAGACAGCACCATTTCAGCTCCTCTTGGGGCCTGCTCAGCCTCCACACCTTTCCCTGATGAAGACTTAGGCACCCTCTGAGCTCTCCCATGAACAAGGGTACCAAATCTAAAAGATGTTCCCAGGATACAGGGTGGGAGGGTCAGCCTTGAGAGGGAGCAGCTCAAGGCTGGCTCTGATAGGCTGAGTTACGTTGTCACTGAGGATGACTAGGTAAGGATCTTTGGTGTGTGAAAGGCCAGCTCTCCAGCTTCCAGACCCATACTTAGCACATTGGCTGATTGTGCTCAGTCTCTAAGCTCTCTATCTCCGACATTGCTGTTCACGCTGATTAGGGTCTATATACTGACTACAGGAAGGACTTTTTTGTTGTCGTTTTGTTTTGAGACAGGGTCTTGTTATACAGTCCCTGAAAGCCTGGAACTCACTCTGTAGACCAAGCTGGCCTTGAGCTCACAGAGCCCCACCTGCCTCTACTTCCTGAGTGCTGAGATTAAAGGAATATACTACCATCCCTGACTAGGAAGAACTCTTCACATTAGTGGTCCTAACTCACAATAACTGTGAGTTACCGAGCACCAAGCCCTGTGCCAGGCTTTAGAGAACACTAACACCTGCATTATTTCATATATTTACCTCCAGATAAATGTGTGAGAGGGTGGGTTGTTGCTGACCTCTCTGAGATTTATTTTCTCCACCCATTTAAAGGACAATTGATGGATATTAATGTGTACCTATGATGAGCCAGGCACCGTTCTGGAAAGTGAGAGTATAAAGACCAACAAATCATTAACATTCTCTTTTTTAAGAAATGGGTCTCATGATGTAGCCTAGACCAACCTTGAACTCACTACTATCCCAGACTGACTTCCCACTTAAAATCCTCTGCAGCAGCTTCTCGGGATTACAGATGTGCACTACCACTCCTGGTGAACCAATAGTGTTGTTGCTGTCACAGAATTTGTAATCTCTGGGCGAAGACGTATACAGTTAAAAATACAGTATCAGATATTATGTGCTTTAAAGAAAATCAAAGCATGGCTCAGAGCTGGAGTCTTGCAAGTGCTATTCACCTGCATGATGGACTCCTGTGTTGGTTAAATGAGACTACGAGTAGAACATTTAGCATAAAGCCTGGTCCCGGTGTGTCTTGATGCACTTTGTATTCTTGTATCTTTCATTACATTTATCTGTTGATCGCGGGGATGGAGTATGCACCACTGTGTACATATAGAGGTCGGAGGATAACTTTTGGGAGTCAGCTCTTTCCTTCTACCATGGGGTCAAACTTAGGTCAGCAGGCTTGGCAGAAAAGTGCCTTTTTTCACTGAGTCATCTCATAAGCCTGTTGTCACTTTATTGATATTACTTTTCCAATATGTGTCAGCTTCCTCTCATGGCCCCAGCCTCCAAGAAAAGAAAACCCAGAAGAGGACACACGTCCCTGCATCCTTGCCCACAGCATCCCATTTACAAGCTGCTCTGGCCACCTCTCTGCTAGGGTAGCATCTGTGAGTTGCAGAGAGAGTGGCCAGGGATGCCAGAAGGATGAAAAGAGCTCCCTTGGTACCCATACCCTCAGTGGCCATAGGAAGCCAACAATTCACTCACTAGTGAACCCCAGCTATGCTGCCAGGAGCCCTTCCCGGGACCAATGTCCCTCTTGGTTGGAGAGGGCAAAGGGGGAATCCAGATCAGCTATGACTTTATTACCTCAAAGAGTGGATGGGTGGACTCTGACCAACAGAGATGAGAGCCATCACGCTGGGAGACTGGCTGGCTCCAGCTTGGTTGGAGGTGTCCATTATAACCAAGACTGGGGGAGGAGGCTTCAAGCCGCTAGTACGTTCTTTCCCCATCCTTCTCCACTGACTTCTTGCTGACTTCCTGAGACTACCCTGTCTCTCAACACCCTGCTTATGCCTCCTCTCTTTTCCTCTCCATCCTGGTCCATATTCCCTGCCTCACCTGGAAAGGGCTCCGCCCCCATTTTTGGTAGGAATTTGGAATGGGGAGAGGGGATGCATTCTGTTGGAGTTTGAGCTCTACCTGAAGCGACCCGTGACAAATGGCAGATCACTCATAGTGATATTAATATGACACCCAGCTAATGTGGAGTCAAACCGGCTCTTCTCCCTAGCAGGCCTGGGACCCTAGCCACCATGTGAAGCTCAAGGAACTAGCCACATTGAGTGGTGGATGGAGGGCTGCCGATTCCTGAGGACAAACCAGATCCCGGGTAGACACAGCTACCTGTGCATGCTGGACACCCACCCCCTTGCCCCTTTCTGGACCCGAGTGTTCATGTCTGGTTTGGATCAGCTCATCCCCGGGATCTTTCCTGTTCCAACACACTGCTTTCCTACTGCCAGTAAAGAAACTCCATGCCCAGTCACTCTGGGTCACAGCCTTTGTGGGAATGCCATTTGCAATCCTCTTCTGGGAGAATTAGCATTCCTGGTAATGGCATGATTGATTACCTAATGAACGCTACAGAGAAAGGCTTGTTCTGGGGACCGACTCATGAGCCAGACCAGCTGTGGGCCATCCCTCTAGAGTTCCTTATCCAGTCTTCCATGTCTACGGAACAACGACTGCCATTATGTTTCCCATAAAACACCCCTGCTAAGAGTAAGACTTTGATTAAGCCTGCTGGAAACATTGTTCCAGCCTTGGACATTTCCTCAGAGTTCAAGTTTTATTTAGTACCGGGCAGTAGGTCTGGGTCTGCCCGAGGTTTTTGAGTGTGGTAGTTCAGGGTGAAATCGTGTCTAAAGGGATCAAGGGGAAGTCAAGTGCAGGGTGACTGTACTTTGGGGAGTGGGTGCAGGATAATCAGATCTTGTGGCCGCAGAAACTAGGAAAAGGGTGCTTTATAGATGGGGCAAGAGGAGCCTTGGGGATCATCGTGTATGAAACGGCCAAGATACGTGAGTGGGGCCCCGTGGGCTGCAAGGCACAGACTAGTCAGAAATGGCAGTGTCTTTGGGTATAGACCAGTCAGAAATGGCAGTGTCTTTGGGTATAGACCAGTCAGAAGTGGCAGTGTCTTTGGGTATAGACCAGTCAGAAGTGGCAGTGTCTTTGGGTATAGACCAGTCAGAAGTGGCAGTATCTTTGGGTATAGACCAGTCAGGCCTGGACACTGGAGGGACAGTGATGTTTTCAGCAGCCCTGAGAAGTCAGGAGCTGGAAGCAGTTCAGGGTTGCTGATTTCTTACTGATTTCATGGGAAATATAGTTTGATGAGATTAGGAGCAAGGAGTCCTTTTGCAAGGAAAAGGGGGCACCTCAAACCAGAGGCACGGCTGACTAGAGAGCCTGCCACAGGCTTGAGTGGGGAGTCAGTAAGACGTTTGGGTCATTTCCCATCCATGCACAGTGTTTCTGTGTGTCACTTCCTTAGACATTATTGAGTAGCCCAGGGATTGGCGATAAGTTACAGTTATAGATTGGCAGTAGCAGTGACTGAAAAGCCAGTGTGGGAAGATAGAACTCCACGAAAGACGGAAGGAACATCGCCACCAAGGCTGACAAGTTATTCAGGAGAATGGACACGTGCCCCTGGGTTTGCCAGAGGTAAGCCACCAGCTCCAATTCTGGTTATAATGGACACCTCCAATCAAGCTCTGGAGACAGGCTGCCTGGCAGGCTCTCCATGGGATGTTTCTCATCTCTGTTAGTCAGGGTCCACCCTTTGACTTGTAACCAAACACCAACATCCTAGTGCTACCCAGAGAGGCTGGGCTGAAGTCACACAGGCTAGAAAAATGAGCATCAGAATGACTCCTGTTTTTATGATTCACGTGCTGTGATTCATGCTTTCTTTCTGCTTAGATGTTTGAGGGGTTAATACTGCCTATACTTGCAAGAGGTTGCTTTTATCAGGTAAGCCTTCTAATTGTCCACTGCAGAATGACAACAGTCCATGGCCCCTCCTTCCACACTGGATCTTTCTCTGAGAATTTACTGGAGTTTTGGGAACAGACTTGAGCTTTGCACCTCATTGACCCATGAGTCACTGTGGCTGGACACATGGCTGTTTGGAAAGAGCAAAGGACAGCTCAGGACCCTCTAGGGCTTCCCTAGAGGTCAGAGGTCAGAGCCAGCTTCAGTTCAGTCAAGGTTGTGCTGGAGGATATTTGTGAAGTCTCAGTAGTGCGGCTTCCCAAGTCTCCCCCTGTAAGACTCATCCCTTTTGTGTTTATTTCTCTGGGAACGATGTAACATATTAAAGGGACATTTCAGCGGATTTAAATGTCTGAGAAAAGTGAGATGTTATTCAATTAAGAAGGCACCTTGCACTCATGGATGAGCAATAAATATCCGTGGATTTGATTTCCAGCCCTATTCCTCCAAAAGTAAGTGGACTTGAAGAGGGTTTTAGTGAATTATTTTTGAAAGATTGAAATTAGCAACCACAACCTCATCTCCTTGTACAATTATAGTGCAGGAAAAAAAAATGTGCTTATTTTCCTGGCCCATGAGAAAGCCGGCTTTCCTTGGTTTTATTTTCCTCTAGCGTCTGATTTACTGGGTGAAAAATGGAAAGGACAAAGGAATAGCATGAAAATACAAAGTATAGTCTTGGCTTTAAAAAAGCCACCAGAGTAAACAGAGAAGGCTAATGTTTCTGTTCTTGGCAAATAACTTCTGAGAACGGCCGGGAGGCATTGCGGGGGCTTCCAAGCCGGGAACTGAGTTGACTCAAAATGACACTTGCATTGGGTCAGTCATACCCCTAGCCTTCCCCCTGGTGCTGAGAATGGAGGGAGGGCTGAGGACGAGGGTCCTTGCAGCATTTGATGTGAGCGCTATGGGTGACAGTGTCACATACTGTCATGTTGGAGCTCCATGTTTTCTTCTGGCTGGTTGGTGGCGCCGTGTGCCAGTGATACAGGAAGATTTGCTTGTACAGGTTCATATCTGCGGTAGTTCTTTAAAGACCCAACAGTCCAATGCTGTAAATAATTCTGCTAAGAAGCTGAGAGGCCTTGGCAACCGCACACTCGGCACCGGCTTCCCCGAGGACCTGCCCGCTCCTTCTCGGGTCTCTTTTTGTTCTGTCTTCCTGTCTGACTCTATTTCTAACACATTTTTACTGCTTTGAAACGTTAGTCACAGATTTCTCTAGTGTGGGTGCTGGTGGACTCAGGTTCCCTTGAGGTATTTCCCTGGGACCCAAGACCTGTGGAGGGCCTAGGGTCCTGGTCCTTTGTCTTGAGAAAAGCAGTCTTTCACGACAGCTGACTGTCCTTCAGACCGCCATGTGTTTCAAGACTGCATGAAAGCTGTTGTTGCAGAAACAGCTCCTACCAAGTTTGATGGCTCTGCTGCTGTACCCAAAGCCATATTCTTGTTCTGTTCTAAAGGAGCCTCATTAATGTTTGCTTGTCTTTTATTTTGTTTTAAGGCAGGGTTTGCTAGGTGGCCCAGGGTGGCCTCAAACTTACAGCAGTCCTCCTGCCTCTCAGCCTCTTGTGTCCTGGGATCACTGTGCCTGACTTTAATGGGCTTCTTTTTCCCTGACAACCCAGCAGGGATGTCTGAGCAGCAGCTAATCACCCCATTCCTGTATTTCCAGCTTATCTTCTTCCTAAGCCGCATTCATAAGAGTGCAAGTGAGAGCCATTACCCAGAAGCCCAAAAGGGGAAAACCAGATGATGATATGTTGATGAGCAACACTATTTGGGAATGCGGGCTCTTTAAATGTCTTTTTAAAGGGGACTGGATTTAGATACATCTCCAGTATAATTTTAAGCCTTTCTACTGCCCTTCTTAATGTGAATCACAAAAATATTTGAGCATAGACAAAAACTGCATCATACTGGGTGATGGCTTTGGCCCCATTAGGCAGGGAGGTGGCGTCTATGGCTGTGTGCTATTGATCTAATTATCAGGAAAATTATTTGGTTGCTTGAAGCTTGTGGTACTTAATGGTGGGCTCACCTGGTTTGATGGGATTCACTCATCGAGCAGGAGCCGAATGCCTGAGCTGGGGCTCCCCTAACTGCCCTCAAAGGGACACTGCTAACCACACCTGGTGCCTGATCTCTTTCTGAGCAGCTCCCACTCCGGCTGCGAACCTACGTGGAGGCATGGGCACAAGGCGTCTTACCCGTTTGGTGAGCTGAGTGTCCATCATGAAGTTGTGAACGTGCTTCTCTGCTTTGGTGAGTTCGAGCTTCCGGGCAACCACAGCAACCACAAGGGCAGTGCAACCTGCGCCCTGCCAGAGAATAGGACATCCGAGGGCCCCAGGAGAGAGAACACACGGTTAGGAGGCGAGACACAAGACGCAGTGTGCCCCATGCCCAGTGTGGGCGTTCCAGGGGACTGACATAAGACTCTGGGTCTCTGACTGGTCGAGACATGCCATAAAGCCCGCCATAACCTGCTTGTGCCCTGATATGCCCACCCAGAAGGGGTCTGCGGTGCTTCTTGTCTGTGACCCTGGCTGACACTGGGGATGACTCTTCATAGAGCTGGCCAGTTCTCAGCACAGTGTGGCTAGGGTGAGTCTTAATTTAACCAGGGCAGTCAGGCTCCTGGGCAGTGCAGCCGGTGACAGAGGGTCCAGCGCGTGGAAGCCTGTCTTTCTGTCTCATGCTGTCCCAGGCTCACACCAGCTCCAGCCCAGCAGGCCCAGGGGGAAAGACACCCGTGTTGACTGCAGTGTGCAGGCCACACCTGGCAGTTGAGGAAGTCCTGAGAACAGCCGAACGGAGCGGCAATGCATTCTCTCCAAAGATGACATGGCCTCCCGAAAGGGAGCCCTTCGGTGGGCACTGACTGTAGTGCCTGCCCCTTGTGTGGGTCCTTCTCCAGGCTGTGGCTCGCCACAAGGAATCGGCTTTCAGGAGGAGCCTCATGCATTCTCGGACACACGAGGATTTTAAAGGTGACAACGCTTCCGCCTGCAGCCAGGCTTTAAAAGACCCAGAAGAGCACCCTCAGCCTCTGTAGAATAACGTTTCTAGTCTGCTCAGGTAGCACCCCCAGCCTCCACAGAGAGCACAGCAGAGAAGGAGCACTGTGACAGGCCCGAGCTGAGCCACGGAACAGTGGGGCTACTTTTCCTGCCTTGTCCTTCAGCTATGCACTTGGCTGAGCAATGAGAAGGAACAGCGTTTAGAGACACTTCTTTCTGTGTGGCTTGGCAGCCCGTGAGTCTGAGGGAGGGAGACAGAGTCCCTTTGTCTGGTTCTGTGGTGTCCAATGGAAGCCATCCCTGGGTTTTCCTCACAGACCACTGCCCTCTCCCTGAACTTGGGTACCACCCTGACCACCACCCATGGAAAGAAGTGTCAGACTCAGGAACGCCAGCAGGGACTCTCCCATGCCACAAAGTAAAGCCCAGAGCCGAGGTTAGCAGTCTGAGATGCTGGGGGTGAAGGAATCCACTAGTAACACTTTTGGCTTAATAGGTTTTGTAATATGTGTGAGAAGTGAGGAGAATATTTCTCAGAAACACTACAATCTACAGCAGGGTTGGGACAAACGCATTTCCTGCAATACTTGCTCTTTCCCCCATCACCGAAGAAGGCCATCCTGTGTGGGATGCTACTGTGGAAAGTGACAGTGCTTTCTCCTAACTCTCTACAAGGGTCTCATTAACACGGCTAAGTGACACTCTGTCCATTCGGCCGCCCTGTCCAAGCACAGCGCTCTGTCTGTGAACTTTTCTTTCTGACCTCATTTTCCCCATTTGGGGATAGCTGTGTTTTCTTGGCATCTGTGACTTGCTGGAGACTCTGTGCCCAGTTGTCAGAAGATATGGGCAATTGGACAGCCCTGTCTATAGCTGTAATCAATTTAGCCTGGCTGCCAAAAGCAAAAATAGCTTAAAAGAAACTGTCCTGGAGGGAGAATGCATGTTCCCTCTCTTCTCAGGCGAAGTCAGCGTCAGCCCTCTCCTTTGTATGGAGCATCCGAAAAGAAGGATGTGTCCTAGCATTAAAAATGGAACATCAGAGGGAGAGGGCTCTTCCCAGGTTCCCCTGGGTTCAGAAATAATTCCACTTAAATCACCCAAAGAAAGCTGGGGTGTTACATCTGAAGAGTGAGTCCCCCTTTTGCTGTATTGGGAGCATCATGAAAACAATTGGTCATGTCCCGGTTGCTGGGGTCTAGACAGGAGCCCTGTAGCTCCAGCCTTGGCCCACAACCTAGCTGACTGACTACAGAGGATTGCTAATCGGAAGTACAGTGCTTTAACTAAGGAGATGCCCTCTTACACGAGATTTTTTTTTATGTATTGATGCAGTAAAGTGGACTGAATCCCAGTGCCCAATTCTTTCAACTTAAAAATGTAAACACTCCCTTGTAGCTACTTCTCCAGAGGGTGCTACCTTCTTAACATCATTCCAACTTCAGTGGATAGTCACAATTATAATTAAAAATTTATCCAATTTAATTATTTGTGTGCATGTGTGCATATGTGTGTGCGCGGGCATGTGTGTGTGTGTGTGTGTGTGTGTGTGTGTGTGTGTAGGACAGAGAACAGTCTGAGAAAGTCAGTTCTCTCCTCCTACGTATGTATGGGTTGTGCGGTTTGAACTCAGGCTACCGAGCTTGGCAGTGTGCCTTTAGCCGAGGAGTCATATTGCTGGCCTGCACGCTCTGATTCCTTTTCGATAATTCATTGTCTGGATATAACGAGGGAGGTCACGAATGATAATGCCAGAACTATTAATATCTATTAGAGGCAACTTTGTGAATATGGGATCAAACACCAACAACCCCCAGAAAGTGGTGTGAGGAGCGCAAAGACTAGACCTTTCCAGGATGTGAGTGAGGGAGAGAGGAGGGAGAGGGGAGAGGTGGGGAATGGGATAGAAAACGAGTCTGCCCACATTCTAGTCAGAAAACAGCAAAGGAGGGAGAGAGAGACAGAGACAGAGAGAGAGAGACAGAGACAGAGAGAGGGGGAGAGAGAGACAGAGAGAGAGAGAGACAGAGAGAGGGGAAGAGAGAGACAGAGAGAGAGAGAGAGAGAGAGAGAGAGAGAGAAGGAAGGAAAGGAAAAAGAACAGTTGATGAGAGTGAACCAAAAGCCTAAGTCAGAGGTAAGCACACGCTCATCCTGCGCTCTGTAGAGGAACCAAAGCAAGACCATGGCCCATGCCCCAGGGCCCAGCCCTGCTTGTCCCCAGGGGTTTGACCTTCACTGCTTTGTTCCCTGAGAAACCTCTTGCTTCTTAGAGTTACCCCAGGGTTGCATTTATTACCTGGGAGTGTTTGCGAGATTTGGCCCTGGTTCAGTTTGGTGTAACTGGTGAACCGACCCTGATTAAAACTGCAGTGTGGCTGTTCCTATTGTCCTGGTGCAGAATCTCAGAGATGCTGGTGGCCAACGGGCATGTGAGGAGAGGTGGGATGGAGTAAGAATGGTGGCAGCACTGTGGTGACCCCCGTGGGGTCAGAATGAGGAGCAAGCTTGTCTTCAGACACCAAGACACGAATCGCTGGCATCAAGACATCAATGGGAATCTTCAGTCCATTCTACCCAAGTCCTGTTCCCATGGAGGGGGAGCGGACCCACCTCCAGCAAGGCCAGACTTCCCCAAGGTACACAGGTAAGCAGAGGACACAGACCGACCAGGGAGGGGTGTCTTGAGGGGTGAGCATGCCTAAGTCATCAGCAGATTTGGACCCAAATCTGGACCCCAACGGCTCCACACCAGGCCCTTACTTCCAAGAAAGAGTTCCAGCTGGAAAATCTCAGACATTGGAAAAACAAGTATCCCAGGGGGGGAAAGTATGAGGTGTTCTTAACTAAAGAGGCATAAGAGGAAATAAAACATAAATGACAGTGACAAATGGAGGAGGGCAGCCTGGAGCGGTTACGGTCAGCGTGGTTGCTGCAACAGATTCCACAGCGGAGCCAAACTACCATCAACAGCTCTGAAACCAAGGTGTTTGAGGAGAGCCACACTGAACAGGACACTAAGCAGATATCTCGATCAGCCCTCCCCGCAATGCTCCCAAAGTCACTGTTTGTGTCACCTCCTCTTCATCTGCTCAAGAGGCATCTCGCAGGACGCTGCCGGGGAGAGCTCGCTGTCCCACCGGACAGCTCGCTGCAAGGCGTTTGTCCACAACCCACATCAGGGTGGCAGGGTGCAGCCCAGCACTGGGAAGGGACAAAGAAAAGCCCCTGGGCGCCCAGGCTCTCCCAGATAACAGAAGCAGAGCCAAAGCTTCGCTCCCCTCCTGGGAGTTGGGTATTAACAACACTGAAAAGCATTCTGGAAAATTCCTCGTGGAAAGATGCTGCAGCACAGGTAGATTTGTGTTAATGAGTGAACTCTCAAGTGCCCCAGGCCTATGCCAGCAGTGTCAAGTTGTCCAGACAGTTATATGCCCTGCCTAATGGTGGATAATTATGCAGTTGCTGGATTGCCAAAGGAAAACAATGATTAAGGCCATTTACAGCAGGCACACTAAATCCTTCCCTTTCCCTTCCTGTGCAGCCCTTGCCTTGGCCTTGTGGTGTCCATGGTAACCAAACAGGAAGCCCTACCTTTAGTCAAGGCTCTTGGAATAATAATCAGGAGATATACATCATGTTGGTGGGGTAGCCTTAGCAATGTGAGCCCCTAGAAAGGAATGACTCAGCTGGAGAGTCACGTTGAATAGAAAAAAAGGCACCAGGCTTCCGAGTGAGTACATTTAACATGGGTAAAGGCACTGGCAGTGAGCAGAGGGAAAATCTCTTGCTGGAGCCCTTGGGGGGTAAAGGCTTATATTCCTGGAGCCAGGCTTTATGCAAAGCGCTCCCAGGAAAGGCCTGTGCTGGAATTGTAATTCAGGAAGCAGTGTGAGGTCCCTCACCTGCTGGCCCTTCCCACTTGGATCCTTCTGCAATCCACAAGGAACACTGTGGGTCCACACAGCCCCCAGGGTGCTGGAAGGTAGGGAGGCCAGGGAAGACCATTGGGGGGGGCAGTGTCTTGGGCCAGGGCTCTCTGTGCTTTTACCATGCTTTAGAGCAGAAGCCAGGAGATGCGAAGCCAGGGAGCCAGGGAAACAGTGGGCCTGGGCGGCTTCTTGGATAAGGCACAGCTCCATGCTGAGAGGGAGAATGGCTGGTATTTAAAAATAACAGAGGCCAGTCTACCTCTTGGCAGCGAGGCTGTGAGCACTCTGCCTGAGCACCGGGGTGGGGCTGAAGCCCACTCCAGGAGTCGCAGAAGGGAAGTTGCAGCCTTCAGGTGGCATTTCACTCCTTTCTGGTAGGAAGACTCTGCTTGGTTTCCTGGTGACAGCTGGAGTTGTGCCAGACAGACTCCTACTGAACGATGGGAGGTGTTTGTTCTAAAGCCTTACACTTACCATGATTTATCCCAGCCTGGCACTATGCCTCTGTCACTACCGGCTGTTTCAAGGCGGCCTGCTCACATGGGCCTGCCCTGCATGGGAGTTGGAAAGAACGGAGGCTGTGGTCAGCCACCCACTGCCCTGGGGTCTCCTCCGCTCCTAGTGGCCGGCTGGCTCCTGCCCACTAACATCAGCTCCAATGGCCACCATACTGAGTAGAAAGAGGGATAGTCTCCCCTCCCTTGATGGAGTTATCTGGAACCTTCCCCTCTGCAGACACAGGTCACTGCCTCATGGGAAGAGCTGCCCTTTCTCCTGGGAGCAGGGAGAAAGGGGCTGAAATCAAAGGAACCCCAAAAGGAGGGTGTCACAGCAACGGAGCGGGTTGCAGAGCAGGCGTGATGGGAAGCTGGGGGCCAATCCATGGGGACCTGGCTGGGGGCCAATCCATGGGGACCTGGTTCCAGGCCTCTAGCGTCCTGTCTGTCCTGTCACCCCAGCACCAACCTCAGTGCCCCCGGGCCGGTGGTGCGCCCTTTTTCTGGATCATTCCTTTTCTGAGAAGAGGGTGTCGCTTGGGCTAAGAAGGAAGTCTAGCATTGGTTCTAAAACACCATGTAGGGAACAAAGGGAGACACTGCCTGTCCCACCCCCCAAAGTATCCCCCAACCCGAGTGGCCCGGGTACAGCTCTCATTGGTGACCCCAAACTTTGGCACCGGTTATTTCTTCGGGTCCCGAGTCAGTGAGGAGGGCGGTCAGGTGTCCAGCTTCACTTTACCAGGAGAGTGCGTGCTCCCAAGGTGGCAGCGGAGCACCTGGCCCGGAGGCCACGGCGAGGGTGTTGTGAAAATTCAGACCCTGCCTCTGACTTGTACCCCAAATCCCTCCCACTGCTGCACCCAGCCCCGGGAAAGGCAGGGGCTTGTGTGTCCCAGAGCCCTGGATCCTGCATTTGTCCGAGGGTGGGAAGATAGAGACCTTGGCGCTGGGTGCCTAGAGACCTGTTGGCACTCAGAGCCAGCGCTCCAATGTGCAGGCACGGAGGACAAAGTCTGGGAAAGTCAACAGTTGGCCCAGAGCCATGTGGGCAAACCAGGACTCAAGCCAGCAGCCAACCCCATCCAGGACACAGGTCCCTTCAGGCTGGCTCAATGTTCTATTTCTGAGCTCCTGCTAAACTTGATCAGAAACAGTACCAAGGTCTGTGGGACCTGGGACACAGGAAGGACACACTTGCCTTTTGACATGCCTAGTGACTAGCACCCCTCCCCCTCCCCAGATAGGCCCCTCTGTGCTCCTGCAACACCTTGAGGGCAGGGCCGCGGGCAGAGTACTCACCATGATGCCAGTGAGAAGACAGACACCTTTCCCACAGTATGTGTGGGGCACCATGTCCCCATAGCCAATGGAAAGGAACGTGATGGAGATGAGCCACATGGCACCCAGAAAGTTACTAGTTACATCCTGCTGGTCATGGTACCTGCCAAGGGAAGACAGGCATTAGTCTGTGAAGCCACTGGCAGGAGCAGAGGCCCAGGGGGAGGGGGCAACGGAGAGGGGGAGGAAGATGCGATGGTGACAGTGTGACATTTCTCTTTAGGCTCCTGATGGTCCTGCACCTGAGCCCACCCAGGTCCTGCCTGCAGCAGCTGAGACCCAAAGGCACAATGTTTTGTCGTGATTTTCAGTGCAGTGTATGTAGACTTCCTTTTACTGTTGACAGGAAAGTTCGAATGAAATCAAGAAGGGATAAGATTTAAATTTTCCTTCTAAATTGACCTTCTGAATGTATGGGGGAATGATGAATCTGAAATCACAGGTTCTTTCTTGGTCAGGAGATCTCTCTCTCTCTCACACACACACACACACACACACACACACACACACACACACACACACACACACACACACACACAGTTGATGGGTTCCAAGACTGGCGTCTCCTGCATGTCCAGAGGGAGGCCATTGTGGTCTGGGCCTCTCTTGAAACTGACTTCATGGGCAGGGAGTTCTGGCGTGCTCCAGGAAGCACAGCCTTTCTTCTGACCTGGACAAATATTTGTGGCAGGACACAGCTGGAAACATCATAATATGTCCTCTGCCTGGAGGTCATTCCACCTGTATTCCCTTCCTTTCCTCCAGGGAACTCAGCCCAGGAGCTCTGTGTTGGGGAGATATAGACATTTGCTGAGAGTTCTGTAAGTGAGCAGGTGGGACCCCTCCACCTCCAGGTGCCTCTTTTTTTTTTTTTTTTTTTTTGACAAGGTCTCACCATGTTGCCCTGGCTGTCCTGGAACTTGCCATGTAGATCAGGCTGACCTCAAACTCAGAGATTCACCTCTGCCTCCTGAGTTCTGGGATTAACAGCAGCCCCAGACCACCACATCCAGTCTGAAGGTGCCTGCTATTGTTCAAATGTGTTCCCTCCTAAATCCAGATGTTGCTCTGAAGACTCCTTCCTCATGAATGGATGAGGGTTTTATTTTATTACCATTTTATTTGTTTATTGACAGTGTCTCGTGAGCTACATAATTCAGACTAGCCTTGAACTCCTGATTGTTCTCTTCATCTCCCAAGTGACAGGATGACAGGCCTGCCTGTGACTTCACCTGAATTAAAAGAGGTTTATGCATCAGTCTGCACAGTTTGCGCTTGTCCCTTCTACTTGTGAGGACATAGCCTTCCTTCCCTCTGGAGGATGTTGCAACAAGGTGGGCCTCCAGACACTAAACTTGTTGTCGCCTTAACAGTGGACTTCCTGCCTCCAAAAGCATCGGAACTAGCCTTTTTCTCCTTTGTCAATCACCCAGACTGTGGTGCTCCCTGGCAGTAACACCAGAGGCTGAGAGACGAGGGGCGGAGCTGCAGTTCTCCAGGAAGGCCTGGGAAAGAGCCTCAAATTCAGCACACAGGGGAGAGGGGAAGAGCCTTTCCCAGAGCATCATCCTTCTAGACCAGTGCGAGTGGGTTACAACGCAATCCTCCTCCTGATAAATCTCCCAGCCGACTATTCAGAAGCTACTGTGTGGGGAACAGAGCCTGGGAGAGGGAGATCAAGCCGTTTGGGTGGAGGGGACAGTTGTTTCAGAATGTTGTAACCAAGGAGACCGATGCATGGCATACAGATTAAAGGCTGGCAAGGGCTGAGTCCTGGCTATGCTCGCTGGGACCTCCATGCGCAACAGAGTCCGGAACCCCACGAGTGGCCACCCAGCCCTGTCTGCCAGGTGAGGTGTGCAGGGGCTTCTGCGAGCACAGGTGTGTCTGGAGATGCAAATGGAGGAAGAACTGCTGGTCAGTCACAGGGGAGCGTCTACGTTGGAGAACACCGGAGCACAGTATGAAGGACACCATTTGTTGACCACCTGTGGTATGACTCACACTCTGAACGTAAGTGCTCTGTTTCTTACAGCGCCCTTTGAAGTGTCTGAGGGGTAAGCAGTTAGAAGCACAGAGACACTGAGTGACTTGTCTGAAGACACACAGGAAGTAACAGAAGCAAAGCCCATGTGTTTTCGCTGCTCTGCTACGCACCAGAGAAGCAGAAGTTACGGGAATGTGTCCGAGAGAGTGAGAGAAAGTGTCCATGAAAGGAGCACACCTGGGCTTCAGCAGTAGACAGTGAGAGGGCGTGGAAGACCAGTGCTCAGAAGAAGTTAGAGGGCCTGGAGTACTGTGAGCAGATGCTTGAATCTGGTAGAGGAAATACAGCATGGTGAGACTCTCTGAGAAGGTCTAGGGCGAGCAGGACGCTTGAAGAGATGAAGCCAATGAAGCCACCTCAGGGGGAGGGGGAGGTGTGCACAGCTGGGATCAAGATGGCTGCAGCTGCCTGCTGCCCTCAAGTCCAGTCCCAACTCATCAACGGGTGGCCTTGTCTTTTCACTGCTGCCTGTCCAAGGGCACGAGCACCTGGGACTTCTGGGGACAGTTGAAGACAGCCTTACTTGCTCTGTTCTCTCTGGTTTAGAACAGACTGTGTCCAGTTCCCAGACATGCTCAGCTACTCTCCTAGGACCCTGGCTGGTTGCTTCTTCCAGGCGCAAGTCCCCAGGTGGCCTGTTCTGCTCCCCTGGTCATCCTGGAGAAGCTCAGGGTTAGTTAGCATCTCACTCTTCCCTCCAGGAACAGGCCTACCCCTACCCCACCATGCCACACTCACCCTAGCTCTGACACGCTTGGACAGGTACACCTTATTTGTACAAACAAGATATCACCATATATTCCCTTTTCTGTCTACAAATAAAAAAGCTATAACTAATATATGAAAATATATATATAATAAGTACAATAACTATATGCAGGTAATAAGTATCAACAATGTCTAGTCTGTTAGCACTTGACAAATTAAGAGAAAATATTCCATTATCTATCCTATCTTGGTGAATCCAAACTCTTGTGCCTAGTTGACTTTGTATTCTAATTTGCATTATCAAATTATCTTTTAATGTCTCTCAACCTTTACACATCTTTTTTTTTTTTTTGGTTTTACAAAACAGGGTTTCTCTGTATTGTTTTGGAGGCTGTCGGTCCAGCCCAGCCTCGAACTCACAGAGATCTGCCTGCCTCTGCCTCCCGAGTGCTGGGATTAAAGGTGTGTGTCACCTCCGCCCGGCCACTTTACACATCTTTAGTGAGTTTATTTTCTGAGCCTGGTAAACAAGGAAAACTATAACTATCTAATCTTCAACTCCCTCAGAGACCCAAGAAGGAAATAATATTAACTGAGTAAACAGGAAGTACAAACAAGCAACTTGTAAAAATGTGAGAAATGACAAAATCAGCTGGCTTCTTGGACAGTCACCCAAGTTTCCTTTGCAATGTTGGGGCATCCATCTTCGGCCTATAGACCTAGCATATCTGACAGACATTCTGTGAAGCAGGATATTCTGAAGGACTGTCCTGCCTTGTCTTGGCAAGGTTTGTAGTCACTCTTTTTGGTGTCCTGTTTGTCCAGTTTGGACAGCATACTGTCATCAGTTGAGGCAAGGGCACTTTCTTGCCCAGTGGCTTACCTTTACCACAAAGAAAGTAAACTCCATGTGGAGTTTCTTCAATGTCCTGCTTGCCTGTCCTACTAGGCCCTTGACCTGCAGCCCCTTCCTGCATGTTGGGAAATGATAGATGCTGGCTCCAGGCTCTAGACTACAAAACTAGACTCTGGGATTGGGGTTGTAGCAAGACTCAGTGGTCGTGTGAAGGACACGGAAGACTAACAGAGCCCACACAATGCACCAGCAGTGCGGACACAAGCTCTGCAGGGCCACTCCAGTGTGACTAGTTAGGAAGAGTATTTTCTGGAAAGTGATCTTGGGTCAGGTCTGAGGGCACTGAGGTTCAGTCAGGAGGGGTGAGGGAGTCAGGGTATGGGCCAGTGCCAGTCCATGGCTGTGGACAAGTGACTTAAATCCCCCTATGACTCAGTTTCCTTATCTGCTAATGGGAAGGTTTAAATAACTCACGGGCAACAGTGTAAGTACGTAGCCCAGAGTAAATGCTCACCATATATCCACAGTAACTGCTTATACAGGGAAGGGCAGAAACAGGAAAGGCAGGAGTTATGACATTGGAGGAAAGAGTCCCAACAGGCGTGTATCGAGGCATTCACAGGACTGTCTTAAAGTTTAGGCTGAAGTACTTGATACTGGAACAGAAGAATCAGAAGCACAAGACCCTTGTCATCTGAGCATGATGGGCTGCCCACAAGTCTAGAGAGGTCAGGCCCCAGGCAGGGAAGTACTGTTTGCAGGCGCACCTGCAGAAGCAATGGGGAGCCCCAAGATTGGTGCGTGGCATGTGCAGGAACGTGTACAGTATTGCTTCCCTGTGCCTGTGGCGCTCCTCAGCCCTTTCCTAGCAAACTCTGCAGCTTGCACTAGTCTTCCTGCGCTTCTGGCTGCCCCCAGATCGCATCATCTAATCCATGCGTGCGTGAATTCTGGGGTACAGAGATTAGAGAGCCAACAAGGCAAACCAGGTGCAGTGGCGCACGCCTTTAATCCCAGCACTCGGGAGGCAGAGGCAGGCGGATCTCTGTGAGCTGGAGGAAAGCCTGGTCTACATAGTGACTTGCAGGATAGCCAGGGCTAGATACAGAGACTTTGTCTTAAAAACAAAACATTTAAAAGATGATATGTTAAATTTTTTCTATGATTAAATAAATATCTGTGTAGGTTTCTTTTTCACTCAGCATATAAATATATGCTGAGGAAAAGAGAAACAGGCCCTGAGAAAGTCACTCATTTACTTATTGCCCAATGGCTGCCCCTCCTTTTGGGGGGGCTATGGGAGGGGCCAACATGGACTGCCCTGGCCCTGCTGCTAGGAGCTGCTGCTCTGCTGTGGCGTAAGCAGTGATGGAGATGAGACCCACGTGCAACTCACCAAGCAGGAAGTGATGATGGAGCAATCAGCTGGTGACTCAGGACAGTGGGAGGGAAAGCGTTGCTCCCAGCCTATTCACAGTTTCAAGTGGTTTACACATGTCACACATCCACATACTAATCTTGTGCTATTTTTTGCAATAGAGAATTTTGGGGAGGAAATAGTTTCACGTTTTTCTTTAAGGGCCGAGGGCGAAGTTTTCCTTTGAACTCAGGAGTAATTATTATAATTGTTCGTTTTTCCATCAGGGTGAACCATGGCTTTCTTTCTTTTTTTTCTACTTAATATTACAAAATAAATAAGAGACAGGAAAAAGCATGGCTGGAGAGATGTCTCATTAAACACACATACCTACCTCTGCTCTGCAAATCTCTTACAACTAAGTTTGTAGTTCCTTATTGTTATAAGTAAGCAAGCAAGCAGGAACCTCGGGACACCTGAAGACAGAAGGCCTCTAGCACACAAAGACACACTAAATTAGTCACTTAGAAGAAAAGGAATCAGGGTCAAACCGATCATTCACAGAGAAGAACTCTTGGGCGGGGCTGGGGAGGGGTGGGGAGGGAACCTATAATTAACACTGCAAGGGAGGGAAAATAAGGCATTGCACCTATGAGGCAAGAATCGAGGGAAGGGAAACTGTGGTCAGAATGTATGTGTTGTATGACAGAAGAATCTATTTTAATTAAAAAAAAGAAGATAGATGCTCTACCAGGAAAAGCCAATTGAATAGAGCAGGAGGAAAAATTGAGCGGGTCTCCCAAATGGCAGAAAACTCAAAGAAAGAAAATGAACATAATGTATAAGAAAATTGGTGAATCTGTCTGCTGAGCCAGAGAAGAGTTTCAGAAAGAAAGAACTGGTGTGGAGGGAGGTCATCACTGAAGAAGTCACATAAAAAATCCCCCAAAACCGTAGGGCTAAGCTCCTACCCAAGTCCCCGGCACAAGGGCACAGTGCAGTGGAAGTCGCCACTGCCATCCGGAGGGAAGGCAATCCTGCATGGCTCGGTGTCCTGGAGGCAGCGGGAGAAGAGGAGACGAAAGACAGACTCAGAGATCACAAACTACAATGACTTGTTGTAAGATAGTCTTTTTGTGCACTGTGAAGCTGTGTCTCTGCCAAGGTGCCTTCCAACTGGTTTAATAAAGAACTAAACGGCCAATGGCTAGGCAGGAAGAGATAGGCAGGACTTTGGGGGAAAGAGGAATTCTGGATGAATTTAGGCAAGTGAGAGGTGCCAGTGAGACACATAAAAAGAACACAGATTAATAGATATATATTAATTTAAATTATAAGAACTAGTTTGGAACAAGCCTAAGCTAAGGTTGGGCTTTCATAATTAATGATAAGTCTCTGTGTCATTAATTGTGAGCTGGCATCCCAAAGAAAAATCTGACTACAATGACTTTGGACTTTTCCCCCAAAACACTGGAAATTAGAAGCTCAGCTACAGGGCTGGAGAGATGGCTTAGAGGTTAAGAGCTCTGACTGCTCTTCCAGGGGTTCTGAGTTCAATTCCCGGTAACCACATGGTGGCTCACAACCATCTACGATTCAATCTGGTACCTTCTTCTGGCATGTAGGCAGAACATTGTATATGTAATAAATAAATACATCTTTAAAAAAAAGAAGGTCAGCTACAGCTATCAAAATTCTAAAGGAAAATGAGACTGGAGAACCCAGGTTCAGTTCCCAGCACCCACGTGGTGGCTCACTGCCATCTGTAACTCTAGGTCCAGGGGATCCCATGCCCTCTTCTGGACTCCACAGACATCATATGGCACAGAGACATACATGTAGGCAAAACATTTGCACACATATAACAAAGTAAAAAATATATATATAAAAGCAAATCAAAAGGAAAATAATTTCCAAACCAGAATCTTGGTCAAGAGATCGCAGAATTCCAAATCCACCTGTGGTGGTTGGAATGAGAATGGTCCATCTGAATACTTGGTCCCCAGTTGGTGGAAAGATTAGGGGTGTCCTGGATGGCTGTGTGTTAATGCAAGCTGGAGTCATCAGAGAAGAGGGAGTCTCAAAAAGGAGCCCTTCCATGGGATCAGGCTGTAGGTAAGCCTGTGGGGCATCTCTTAATCAAGGATCGATGGGGGAAGGCTCAGCCCGTTGTGACTGGTGGTCCTGGATTCTATAAGAAAGCAGGCTGAGCAAGGCATGTGAAACAAGCCAGTAAGCAGTAAGCAGCCCCCTCCATGGCCGCCGCATCAGTTCCTGCCTCCAGGTTCCTGTCCTGTCTGAGTTCCTGACGGTGAACAGCGATGTAGAAGTGTGAGTCAAATAAACCCTTTCCTCCCTAAGTTACCTTGGTCCTGATGTTTCATAGCAGCAATAGTAACCTGACTAGGACGTGAGCTGTGGCCTTGTTAGAGGTGTGTCACTGGGGGCAGGGTTTGAGGTTTCAAAAACCTGGTTTCCAGGTGGCTCTCTCTGCCCGGCGACTGCGTCTCAAGATGTGAGCCATCGGCTACTGGTCCAGTGCCGTGCCTGCCTGTTTGCTCTCTGCTGTGATGGTCATGGATCCTCGGAAACTGTGAGCCCAGTACCTCTTTCTTCTAGAAGCTGCCCACCGAATGATGCCATATAAGAGCAATAGAAAAGTATCAAAGACTCAAAGCAGTAGTTGAGTCTGAAAGTGAGAGAGTGTGAAGGGCATTTTCCCTTTCACAAGGTTCTGTGAGGTTGGTTTCTCCCAGGAAGCCATAGTGGGCATTTAGTTAAGGTTATTATGGCTGTGATGAAACAGCATAAGCAAAAGCAAATTGGGGAGGAAGGGGTGTATTTCACTCACAGTTCCACATCACTGTTCCTCATCAAGAGCAATGACAGCAGGAGCTCAAACGGGGCAGGGACCTG